AACAAATGACCTGACAGTGAAGAAGGGGAAATTGGCATGATTTAGCACAGCTGTTTAATTCAGAAACAGAGGACGATGACTTCGATTGGTTTGATTAATATTTTGTAATAAATACATGAATAAAGCAAAAACATACTCAGTTTTTCTCCCGCTCTATTTTTAAATACGCAGTAGAGGTATTTAAACATAGTAGAGGACATGTACCTGTATATAAAACCCGCGCCCTATAATCCGGTGCACCTTATGTGTGTGTTAAATACAGAAATGGCACACATAACTGAGACTGCGCCTTTTAGTACGGTGCGCCTTATGATCGTGAAAATATGGTATATCTAGCTTGGAAAAACCGCGTGTTTCTTCATTAACAACGATCCAAATGGTAATAAACTGCAATGGGCTGGAATGGGAAACAAACATTTATGGCAGCTGGGTTATATACATGATTACAACATTCCTTAGATTTTCACCTTCTTGTTATGTGTTATTTTCACTTATGCTCTCTTGTAACTGCAGGAGGCATCTGATACAATTTGTCTTCCAGCCAGCCTGACCGCATCTCTTGTCATTCTTGAAAAGCATGAACTTTAAAGCTTAAATGTCCATTGTTACCTTGAAAAAGATCGACTGATACGACGTACGAAGAGTTTCAGAGTCAGAGTTTTGTTTTCCATAAATTTAATTTCTTCTTGCAGTTGCCATCATGCCATTTATCTCATTGGCACACACTTCAGAATAAAGGCAGATCCGAAACTGTTGGGTTTTAGTTGTTCTTCCACCACATACTCAGTACCTCAGAATGCACCCTATGATATATTTCTATGTCTTCTCGTATGTGATAGGGAAGCATCTGTGGACAGATGACATATTGTCACACAGCCCATTAAAACAAAAATCCCAGGGTGAAAAGGAGCTGTTGAAGGACACTAACATTTATGTGAACTCCATGATGGGAAACTTCAAGCACTACTTACCTTGAAGAGCTGAAAGAGTCTAAAGAGGGACAGCTTGAGTGAACATGAGATACGGCTGGCTAAGAAAGAACGGTTCTCATACCACAATAAACCAGCACTCAGACTGTGCTGGGCTTAATAAAAAGCATTTTGTACAGTAAAAAATGGGCTTTTAACTATGAAAAATTATGTGAAGGATGGCAACGACATTTGAAAAGTAGAACAAACATAGGTCAGTCATTACGGTTTCCTGGACTAAATCAGCAGCTAAAATTAGTAATAAATGACAGAGAGCCACTGATTCCATCACAGAAAGTCTGCTGCATAAACACTTTGATTGTGTATTGTGTTTTAAGATTTATGGAAATTTGTTAATTTAGTTCTACAAGATCTTTTGACAAACCACTGCATCTGAGAGCTATTAATTATAGACTAGGTCAGCGGTCCCCAACCTTTTTTGCACCACGGACCGCTATATGTCAGACAATATTTTCATGGACCGGCCGGGGGGGATTACGATCAAGTAAATTGATACGACTGGCATAAATTCAAATACAAACAGCATAAAAATTACAAAACAAGCCAGTCCCATCTAGGCGAACCGGTAATCGGAGAAAATGACAGACGAAGTGTGCTCCTGATGTCCAGTCTGCTCCGTAGCTTTGTTTTGGTCGCTGTAACCGCAGAAAATCCTGCTTCACAAAGATAGGATGTTATAGATAGGATGAGTCTTGAACTGAATTAACTTGTGTCAAAAGGCACAGATGCACCGACTGATGTAACTGGGAGAGAATACCGCAATTATTTATATTTTTCAAAATAAAACATCACTCAGACTCTGATCGTCGATAAATTATATATATATACTTTTTTCTGTGCTGCCCGGTACCAAATGACCCACGGACCGGTACAGGTCCGCAGCCCGGTGGTTGGGGACCGCTGGACTAGGTTATGCACAATTAGACGCCCAGTGGTGTTTGAACACTTTCAATCTTATCCTGGATGAAAAAATGCCCTTACTGCTGGAGATCTTTTATTTTTTTATTAATCCTTATTTAGAAATAAAACAGACCCTCTGGGTCATTAATTTCCCCTAAAGTGTTTTGATATTTGATGGGCATTTATTTGAGTGCTTCTGAGAGTTCTACCACCAGCTTTTCACGGACACACCAAAGCCCTCACCTAGCTTCTCCCTGCTCGACCTCAGGTGCAGAGCTGTGACCCTGTAGCAAGAGACAAACTGATAATGTCTATATTTGAGTAATCCTTGATCTTCTCTAGGTTTAAGAACTTATATAAATTAGATGTGAAGCCAAAATCAAAAAGGGACATTATGCAAAATCATGGAGTTTAAAAATTGCACTTTTTTTTTTTTTTTAATCATTTTGTAAAGGTAGCTTTAATTTATGAGGTGTTCATGCAGAGTAAATTATGTGTGGGTTGGAGCTCTGGTTTCCAAACCTTTCAGATCTAGAATAGACTCATGACCCAAACTATTGGTTGGATTCCCAAAATCAGGCTTAATAGGAGCTTCTGAAAGTGAAATCCAGGTGAACATGATGAGGTTAATTGGAGCAGCTGATATAAAATCAACTGCAGCAGCAGAGCAGTTACAGCACAAAGCTTTTCTCTTTCAGAGCTCAGCCTGGTCCAGCTTTGCTGCCTTATTAGTCAAAATGGGGTTTCAGGATGTTTTCAGGTGAGTTTTCCTGAATGATCTTTTATGGCTCCTATGTTTGGTCTTGTAATTTCTAAGGATCCATTTCTTATCAGGAGTTCCTGGATCGGCTTCCTGCTCCTCCATGTTGTAGTGTGTGCTCCTGTTAAACAAGGTGGGTAAACTTGTTGTTTCTATGTAATCTTGTTCCCCCCAAGGGGAAAAATGTCTTTAGGTAACCTAACCCTTCTGGCCCCATTATGCCTTGACTGGGTTTTGTCTTTAACCCAGAGGTTTGAAGTGTCTGCTTTGGCTTTCCTTTATTTGCTCAGGTCAAATGGACCTGGGTTACTACCTTGGCTCCAGGAGAACCGGAGCTGGTTCTGGTGTTCCTGCTGACCTGGGCTTTAACAAAGACCCTGGTCTTACTGGCGGCCTCTTCTCTGGTTTGGGGGCTGCAACTGGTGGCGGTTCCTCAGCTGTGCAGGATGAACCCTTTTCTACAATGATTGAAAGTCTGCTCTCACTTGGCCCCTCCAAGACTGGTCTCCAGCAGTCTCTCTGGGTCACTTCTGACCACGTTCCTGTGTCAATGACTGTTCCCCGTCCTGTGTTCCCCATTTCCTATGTCATCCATACCAGCAATGGCTACAAGCGAGCAAGGAACAACCAATTTAACTCAAAGTATGTCCAGGGTGCATTTGAGGACTCTGTTCAACCTGGGACACCACAAAACCCGGGGTCCGGCTCTAAAGGAGATCAGAAGTTTTAACGAGGTAAGGACTGAATGTTGTGAAGTAATGGACACCTTATTGTGATACTGATGTAACTGTCTTGCAGGTGGAATTGACTGGAGGCACTTAACTTGGAGACTGAATCTTGATGACCCCACTTTTTTTTGTCAATCCACATCAACAGCTTGATACAATAAAACTTGTAAACAGCTTCTAGTCAAACTGATTCCTGAGTCTCATTAAAATGTAACTCAAGCTCAGAGTTTATTGTTCCATTGAACCTGTGATTTTAAAAATGGTCCAAATGACAGTTTTCACTAGAAGTGAATGTAGTTGGTGCTTATTTCCCATACTGTTGCAAGCTGGCAGTTGTACCTCATGGATTTTAATATAACAGACTTGTGTTACTCTAATGCAGAGGGTTCCCAAAGAGGGAGTCAAGATGGTTTTCACAATGCTGATTTGATTCTTGATTAAGAGGTCCATAATACTTCATAAAATGAGTAAATGAAACCAAACCCACATCTGGCAAGGGGGTTTATTCCTTTAGCTTCTGTATCCTATGAAAACATTTTTCCATCAAACATTTCATACACCAGCTATTCGTTTTCAAAAACAAAGTAAAAGGTCAAAGTGAAGCTCCAGAAATGGAATCTTAATGTTAAACACTTTGGTTCCACCTGAATGGCTGTGATTAAGTGTTTTTCATGCTTTAGAAGAACTGTTCGGCTTCACTTTGCAAATCCCTGTATCTGGTTGACTCAAAGGGAAACCTTTTCCAGAAATATTAAGAATGAATCATTAGGAAATTTACTCCCTCTTGGGCTCTTATTGGACACAATTCCACCCGTAATACTGATTTGGTCTTAAGCTAGGCTTACACTGTATGATTTGTTTGCCCTTTTCGGGGCTGATTCTCCAGTCGTGAGAATTTTTCGATCAGGCAGATTTTCAGCCTGATCCTTTGTCATGTAGTATATGGGGGGGTAATCGGCCTCTCACGCTCCCCTGATCAGGAATTGTAAGGGTGGGAACATGTTTTCAGCATACACTTTCATTTTCAACTGTTGCACGCAGCTACAGCTCAAACTGTAGGATGAAACAGAGTTTAGAAGTTCACAGCTTAGGGTGTAAGGTCTCACATTGTGCAGCCCGACGCTCTGATGCGATCTTCTGGGTCACACTGCACATCTAAAAAGCACCCGTCAGACTCCGCACTGACAGATGGTGCTAGCTGGACTTGTCAATTTGGTTATTCAGCATTAGTTGGGCCTCCAAGTTAATTCAGTCAACTATTAAGTGAGGATCACTGATCTCCATTTATTCACTGGATTGCTGATTGGTAGTACGGGTTTGAGGTGACGATACCAGCATATTGGTACTCCCTAGTTAGACCAGTTGCAATGTAAACAATCTATGCACTACAGCTTCGAACAACGATCTCATTTTCAGGGGTACTTAAGACTTTTAAAATACAGATAAATTAATCACTTTGATACACACTGGCTGTTTCATAGCATAGGTAGGTTACTTTAACTTATAGTAAAAAAAAAAGGCACATTGCATAGTCATAATGAAGTCTATAAATCATGTAATATAACATTATACAAATCAATCACAATAAAATTGTGTTAATGAAGCACAATAATACAGATTTGCCAAAAGTGCTAAATAGATTATGTACATCTAATATACGTGTATTTATTAGATTGTTTTACGGTAATTACATCTTATTCAATGCAATTCAGTTCAGTTTATTTATATAGCGCCAATTAAACACATGTCATCTGAAGGCACGTTACAGTTCAACCAGATCATCCAGTCAAACTGATTCAAGGTTTTCTATCTAAAGAAAACCAGTTGATTGCATTGACTCATTGACTTAAAGGCAATCCCTCACACTAAGCATGCTTGTAGCGACAGTGGAGAGGAAAAACTCCCTCCAGCAGAACCAGGCTCAGTGTGAGCGGCCATCTGCTGAGGCCAACTGGGGTTCAAAGAGACAGAAGCAGAGATACAAAAGGCAACTGTAAAAGGCGGCCCCGTCCAGGAAACACAAGAGCTCCGAGCCAGCTCCCATGTCAAGGGAAGGAAGAGAACACATCTAGCACACTAAAAAACAGGCTGATCCCAAATATCTATAAATAAAGGTTTTGATAGCAGCAGCACAACTCATATTTCTCTCCAGGATGGTGTCACAGCCAAACAGGGAAAAAAAAAAAATATATATATATATATCAATGGAGATCAATTGAAAGTGGTGAACTCAACCACATGGTGGCGGTAGAGGACAGAAGATGTATACAGATGCTGACTGACTAGATTGCTCGCATAAAGGCTGATTTAGTTCCAAAGAAATTGTGTTTACCATTCTGAATTTCTACACTGGTTTAAAAACAATATAATAAAACACCCAAGATAAGGAAAATACATAAATATATATTGTGGTATTTTCGTGTAAAAGTAATATTTGTGGTGCTCAATATATTTAAGTGATTTTTCTTAAATCAAAAACAAAAAATATGTTAGACTTTCGAAAACGCCTATTTGTAAAAATCTGACTGCAGCAATGATGATTTTGCTAAATAGTATTCTATTGCTTTAGTTTTGCCACTTCCAACATGGCGGGCGCGCTGACGCACAGCAACAGCGAGGTCTTCGAGATCCCTGAGCTGCAGATTGGTGAGCGCGCGCCGTTCGTGCAGCCTGTATATGGGGCGACCCAGAGCCGTGGATGAAGGTAAGGACGAAGTAATGAGTGTCTGTCGGCCATCTGCTCCATGAGGGGGCGGCGTCCATTTCTGCGGCGATGCGTTGGGATTTGTATGCTAAACATTTAGGCCTAGAGACTCAGAGGGAGAACGAAAACACGGATTTAATTGTTGTCCCGCTAGAACATACAAACATACACAAAATACTGCTTGAAATAACGCGTTTCCTGTCATTTACGGCTCACATTGGTTCAATATTTGATTTAAAGGGTGTTTTTTATGAACACAGTGTTATAATGAATCCTTATTAATGCGATGTGACATTGTTCTGTCCGCTACAAACCAGTTAAAGGAACAGTTCGTCTTTTTTATCCGACCTACCCATGGGTGGTTCTATGCAGGGGCCAACGGGGACTAGTGCCCCTGTAAATTATGTCCTGGCCCCTGTTACGGCCCCTATGCTGAAGACATGATACTCAGAGAAAATACAATGATGATATGCGCTGGAACAATGTTGCAAACTCCCTGAAGAATAAAAAAAAAGGGACACTTTATGTGCGTGCCAGCTGACCCCATTGCCTTTACCCCTCCTGGCATGGTGATTTTCTTTTAGCCCCTCTTTGTGTGTAAAATAATTTTTTTTTCAACAATTTGACTCAAATCTGCATAGAATTAGATGCATATTTGTGAGTGAAATGAACACACGGAAAACAAATTATTATCCAGCAATTCACTTTAATACAAAATAAACTTTACTCAGTAAAATAAGTGTCGTACACATGTAAAAATGAATATATAGCTATAAATAAATAGTGCAAATTTTTGGTGCAGCTGCAAACTTGTCAACATATTTGTGCCTGAAATGCAACGACTTTAGGCTACAGTTGTAAAACAAAAACAAAATATTACCTCAATGCCACATTATGTGGCAATAGCCTACTTTTTCCACATGTATTTCCTCTGAGGTTTTAGCTTTAGCTTAGCTTTTTTACTCTCACAGTAATACGGGACAAATTGCGTTCCTTTTCCACTAAATATGGGACAAGTACTTCTATTTCTAAATACGGAGCAATTTCCATTTTTTCAGGCGAAGGTTGGCAACCCTAGCTGGAACAGACATGGATACTGAAAGGTCCTTTGGATCTGTTTCATTTTTGGTTTTATTCTTTTTTACTAATTATTTAAAAACAATAAGGTGATAGCTTCCGTGGTATTGAGATAGTATCCCAGTTTTCATGTGCTGAATGTTTTTTCTTTCAAAACAAATTAAAAAAGCAAAATTTACAGCTGAATTTATCAGTTTTTCCTCAAGTATTTAATTCAGATTTGATAGAAAACTTTCATTTTAACTTCAATTAAGTCAAAATATTTAAAATTCCTAAATTCTGAATCGTATATTGATCTAGAAATTTAATTAAACTTAATTGAATAGAAATTTCACTTTATGCAGCTCTATTACTATATTTGAATCCCTTGCTCTGTTTTTTTTTATTTCATGCTTTTCTGGGCCCCCATGAAAACACACTGGCCCCCTCCTGGCCCCCTGGTACATTTGGTCTAGAACCGCCACTGGACCTTCCCATTCTCAGCTTCAGTTTTTTTTTAACTAGAAACCTGCTTTATAATTCAAAAGCTAAAAACATGGAGAATTTAATTGACTCTTTTTAATACCTTCATAATGTCTTTTCAACATCAACCTATTTAAATATTGCTCATTTACCCTTTAAAGCAGTTTTTTTTTCTTTCTAACTGTAGAGATCATTTTATATCTGCTGTTCTGAAGCCCTGCTCAGTGTTGCTCCGACCTGCTGAAGTCATGTTTGGTATGCTCTCATTTTCAGGCCGGTGTGAGGTTTCCCTCCTCTGTCCTTCCTTCTGCTGTACAAGCAGCGCTCCTGCACACATACAGAGCTTCAAGGCTGCAGGAAGTTCTGCTCAGGAAAACCCTCCACCTTGACCGCTTGACTGATGCTACAGTTTGCCTCTTTGTATTTCGCTTGCTGTGACCTTAAGGCCAGAGGACCCAAATATAGGACTCCATTGAAGAAAAGGCTTTGAATATATTACCTTTTGATCAGTTTACTGTGATCATGGCGGCCACAGGTTATGGTTACTACCGTGTAGTCATCTTTCTCTGCATGTTCACCGGCTACTCGCTGTATTTCTTCAACAGGAAGACGTTCTCTTTTGTAATGCCCTCCGTGATGGAGGAGATAGAACTGGACAAAGACGACTTGGGTAAGAACTAAATATTGCTTGTAGTTTTGAAGTATTCGTATTTTGCTTTTTATTTGTTAAAAATACTTTGTAATGGCTACTCAGGTACTGAATTATTAATATCTTTTAACATCTAATTGCAATCAGACAGAGACTTTTGTACAAATTATGTTTCTATATTTAGCGACTTTTTAAACCCCTCTAGCACTTTTATTACAACAAAAGTTCCTGGCGCCAAATCTATTAACTTTTTCTGTTACTGGAGACTTTGGCGACAACATATAAAAGCACCGATTTCTGCACTCCAGAGCAAGGAGATTGGTAACCCCGCCATCTGCTCTCCTTTATCTTGTCTACTGTTATGATTCATGCAGCTATTATTTCATACAAATGAAAAATAGAGAACAGATAAGCAGATCATGGCTTGTTTGCAGGGAAAAGAAGTGCTGGGTTATTTACTTTTGCTGTCGCGTTTTTGGAAACACAGGAAGGAGCAGTCATCTAAGTTCAAATGGGCTTAGTGATTGGAAATCTTTAACTCCTTTGGATAAACCTTAAAAGTCAGCTGAGCGAGAAAAGGGACAAGAAGAGAGGGAATAAGTAGAACCAATAATGTATTCTATAGAAAAAAATATTTATCTGTATAATGGGTCTGTTTTTATGTGTTGTCTTCTCAATTCAGAGGGCCCCATACCTGTGTTTGCCTAGGGGCCCAAATTTCCTAAATCCTCCCCTGGGTTATGTTCATATATCAGGGAAAGATAATGAATTTCCAGTTTTAATATCTACTGATTACCGTATTTTCTCCTGACTTACGAATAGCTCCACTTAATCGTGGTCGGTATAGGAACCAAAAAATGTACTCAAGTAAGATAAAAGTTTTTTTTCTAAAGATTACTCAAATAAATGTAATGGAGTAAATGTAAACCCTGAGTATAAACTGGGAGGAAGATGCTGTCAGTTAATGCATTTATAGAACATAAATGTTAGTTTTTGATGCTGTAAATAAACAGGAAAACTCTATTTATACTTGGGAATATTTGCCCTCCTGAACATTTAGACATTTTGATTGCTTTATATAGTAGACTGTTGGCATTTATTTAAATATCTGCTTTCAGATAATATACATGCCTTTTCTGATTGACTTAAACTATCCTTAATGATCATTGTAATACACATTAGATTTCAGTGACCAAGATCATGAAAATCAGGGTCAGTTTTAGGGAAAAATTGTGGAAATATTGATGAATTGCTGTCAGTATTTTTATTCCATCCCTCCATCAGGGCCTTTGAGCCAGCAGCCTATGGGAGAAAGGCAGAGTAAACCCTGGAATGGTCGCCAGTCCATCGCAGGGCAACATAGACACACAGCTAGACACACTCATACCTAAGGTCAAATTAAGAGACACTGGTTCCATGCAGTAAGATCTGAGAGCAGGACCTTCTTGCTGCAAGGCAACAGTCCTTTGAACTGTGCAGCCTAAGTGATCTTGTTATGATCCAAAATTTTAATTTAACGGTTAAATATTTTCATTAGATGGAGAACAAGCTGCTACTTATCTCTTGGAAAATGTCTGCTAAAGGAAGCAAGGCAATGTTAAAGCGAAGTATGAAGAAGAGGGTTGCTACAGTCTTTTTGACCAATGCTATATGACATTTAGTTTAATTACTGTTCAGCAGTAAATGCATCAATATGTGATAATGACCTCTTTGGGAGCAATTATTTTTTTTGTACCAAAGTTAACAGCAGGTCAGTTGTTGTAAAATCTTTAGTTTATTTCTGTTCTCAGCTGTGAAGAAGTGCAGATAGTTAAATGCAAATGTATTGTGTTTTTGTAACTGTTTTTCCAGGTCTGATCACCAGCAGTCAGACCATGGCCTATGCCATCAGTAAGTTCATCAGCGGCGTACTGTCGGATCAGATCAGCGCCCGCTGGCTTTTCTCCATCGGCCTCTTTTTAGTAGGAGGCATCAACATAGTCTTTTCTTGGTCTTCAACGGTGTCCATGTTCTCGCTGCTCTGGTTCATCAACGGCCTGGGACAGGGCTGTGGCTGGCCCCCATGTGGAAAGGTCCTGCGGAAGGTAAGGTTACCCTTCCTGTCACTCCATAAATCCCAGATCTGAAAGCCATTAGCAAGATTTATTTTAAGGTGTTTTTTTTTCACATTTAGAAAACAAAAATTAAGGAGATGTTAAAAATAAACTCAGAAGTAAAATGTAACATCAAATCAAAGGTAAACTTTGTCATAACACTGCTAATGGATATGCACATGTTTTGGTGTGCAAGTAGCTTGGATTTTTTCTACACAAAACTTTAGAGGGTATAAGTAGAGATGCATCAGTCAATCAACATGTGTCTAGAATGTTAACATTTACCCATATGCATTTAGACACATTGCAATAGAAGTTGATCAAGGTTAGAGACAGAGGGTGCCATGTTTCTGCCTCTTTTATCACACTTTAACATCTTAGATCATCAACCAAAGTGTATGAGATAAAGACAGACATTTATTAAGGCAAAAATATTTACATCAAACCAGCTTAGTCTGATGTAAATATAGACTTTCCCCTTAAACCTAATGTGGCGTTAATGTTGGGGCGACACCCACTACCTTAAAGGCACACTATGCAACATTTTTCAGTTAATGTGTTCCATAACGTTTTGGATAATTAAATGAGTCATTTCAGGTCAAACAAAGGTTTTCTCGGCCGCCCTGGTGGTCTGTAGGGGAAATACCGTACTTGCAAATGCGAGAACTGCTACACGTCCCCAGTGAAAGGAATGCTCGTTGCTAGCGCAGTGGCGATATTTGTGCAGTTATCATGGCGGAACCAGCGAGAATTTTCAAACTCGAAAGTTGGAAAAAAATAGTCACTTACCGCAGTAGACATGGTGATTCGTTGCGTTCGCCTCTCTGCTAAGCTAAAAAAAAACGCGCCTGGCTTGACGGAGAAACAAGGAGAACAGCTGAGCATATTTACGACAGTGCACTTTTGCTTTCGCCCTCTGGGGGGAGCCTTGCTGGAAAATCAACACCGGTTTTTATAGTATAACTTTAAGCGTTTGCAGTCTGAACACAAATAGTTTGTTTAGGTCATACTAAAGTATTTAAAATAGATTCAACTCCAGAGTTTGACTCGACCATCCAAAAACCTTCATTTTGTTCTGTTTTGAGCTGTCACTAGTTTTTTTTTTTTTCTTCAAATTTTCTAGTAAAGTTAAGAATGAAACCAGCCTGAAAGCATCACATGACTATCACCATGTTTAAGGGCTGGCATGATGTTCCATTTCTTAAATTATGTCCTTCTTCTACGATAGATCTAATGGACATAAAAACTCCAGAGGCTTTCAGTTGTTTTCTTCTTTTGCTAAATGTTGCACAAGTAGTTGTAGGGTAGTTGTGGCCTAGTGGTTAGGGCATTGTGCTTGGAATCCAGATGTTCTGACTTCAAGCCCTAGTCCCACAGATTAGCTAACCGAAGATTAGAGATGAAGCTACTAAAATCAGAATAAAGTTTGAAGAAATAATGCAGAATTGGAATGTACAAGAATAATCTAGCAGAATGATGAAAAGTGGTCTTTAAGTCCTCAAACAGTATAAGCCTATAGCAGCATGACCTTTGTGATAGCTGGGGATACCCTGAGACACTATCATCATAAGATTTATCAAAAACGTAAAGTAAGTTTTAAGGAAAGTTTCAAGCTTAGTAATGATTGTTCTCTTTTCGTTTATTTAGTTTTGAAGTAATTCTGGTGGGCTGGCCCCTCATGGCTAGGTTAACTAGAGGGGAATATATCCCCATGAGTAAATGGCAGATTATACTTCTGCAACCGCACACATCAAATGTTGCTTGGGTCTGGTCATGAACCAGTTTTGCTGGTATGCTTCTGCACCGTCGTTCTGGAATTTCTAGGGACGCACAGCAGTTTCCCATCAAAGCGCAAGGGGGAGCCTATTCGAGAACTTGCGTGAACTTCGGTGGCGCGGGCGGTAGTGTTTATCTTCCAAAACAACAATGGATATAATGGTCATGGAGATGGATCTAGAGTTGATAGACATCGAAGAGGAACACGTTCTGTTAATGGAGTTGGCAAAAAGACCGATTAAACTTTCGTCGTAGTTGTGCTTTGTTGTTGTTCCTCCGTTTTTAAAAATGACGCGCTCTGCACTGAATCGAGAAGGACGACCACACAGACAGCCAGAAAGGCATACCAAGGTCTGCGAACTTCCGCTTGAGGTCTGCACGGGTTTGCAACTCTCCGATGTGTAGTCAGGATTTTAACTCCTGCACGACAACGGATGCAGAACCTCTGTGCAGGGGGAGTGGTCGCACACAGAGACAGATTTGAAGCTTGCAGAGGCAATGCGTCAGAAGCATAAATTGGCCTTAATTCTCACTGTGGCTCACTGGAGACCTACAGCTGTGGAGATGACTTTGTAATTTCACAGACTGATCAATTGCAATAAGCTTATTTCCATTGCAGAGACTTTTGGGCACTACCTGGTATTTTGAGAACATTCCACTTGCAGCGTTTTCAATCAACTGCAGCTGTCTGATGGACTTTTTAGGCAAAACTGTGAAGACACTGCTGCAGTAATCAGTTCTACTGAAGATAAATGCATTAATGAGTTTTTCTAAATCCTTTATTCCTGGAGATGTTCTTCAGGTGATAAAACCCGTACTAACGTACTAACAGACCATTAGCCGTAATCAGTGGTTTCTAGTTGTAGTAGCTAAAGATTCAAGCTAACTCTGGATCTCTCCTTTATTCAGAAGATTATTATTTCAGTTTTGCTTTTATTCAGTTGGAGAAAATGACGGCTCATCCACGTATTGATCTGTTCTAAGCATCTAGCCAGTGATAGCATTCTAGATCCAGAATAACAATCAGAATATACAGAATAGACTTGACATCAGAATATATATTTCTAGTAGTAGAAGTTTCATTACAGATATCAACTACTAGAATTGTAATAATGCCTACACAGAATTCAGTTATAGAAACTTACAAGCATGTTTTGGCTAACTTGTTACAGTATAAGAGGGCTCCATTTTATCTTAAAATAGACAAGTTGGCTCGCCATATTTCTTTCATAGAAAGTATTATGGCATTGCACCTAGTCACAATTACAATAAAAATATCATTAATTACATTTACATTACATTTATGTCAGGAGAAAACTGCTTTTCATCTAAAATAAAAATGTTAGAAGTAAAAAAACAGCTTTAGTGCTTTCTATAATAGAAATATGGCTAATCAACTTATCTAGAATGTTTGTTTTAGATGGGACGAATGTCATTTTGGATAGCCGTAAGTATACGCTTAATACAGATGAATGGGGAAAGAGACATCATTTGTACTAGAAAGAGTTTTATTCATGGTATCTGAAATACATATTTAGTCAAGCTAATAAATGTTAGGAAAGAAACGGCCTGCCTTAAGACCCTTGGTTTATTCTCTTCAAACTTCTGAATGGAAAATATCTTGTTTCTTATGTCTCTTCAAGGTTTGTGTAAAGATATCTCTATAGTTTAACCTATGGATGCAAACTTGATAAGTACATAGTATTAAGCTTGCAGACTGCTTATGATGCCAGCTGTCTGTCCAGAGTCGCCACCTGCTGATAAATGCACGTTTGGAGTCAACAGACTGTTAATTGTGGATTATATTTGGAGGGACTGTGGCCGTGAGGCACGAAGCAGCACTGACCTTTAGAACCAAGGCAGCTGCGTTCGGTTTGGGCTGATCTCAGCCACCTGTATGAAGTGTTGATTGTCCGGGACAAGAGCAGGAAAGGCAGCAGCAGTTTGAGAAATTAAAGGATTACCTAATAATCTTTTAAGGTCTCCTCTATAAATAGCTTTGGGATTTGCTCCAAGTATATTTTAACTCTTGAAGTTCTGAATTATATTTACTAATTTTACTGTTTTTCTTTTAAGAGAACTAATTGATCCTTAGATAAGAAACCACCTCCAGCTTTAAAGAGCTGCCTGAAGCAGTGGTTGAACTAGAAGAAGAAAAAGGTGTTGGCATGTGTTCAGTGGGTGGCGGGGGTCGGATTACAGGACAGAGTATTTATAGATGATTCTAAGTAGATCTCCACAAAAGAAAAGCAAATTTGCTAAAAAGACATCTTACCCCTCCCACTGAAAAGAAAATGTATTTAACAGCTCTAAACCTGCTGCACAGCTGGGTTTAAGTTAACAATATAGATTAACATGGTGTTAAGTTAATCTATGGCTACCGTAGCTGTATGTCCAGTGGATTCTCAGGTTACTAATGCTCTGCTGGGTACGTGGTTTAATGGCTGCCTTCATCTGAATCACAGCCTGGGGGCATATCGCTTCTCTTTGATTCTGCTGTTTCTCAGTGAGCATAAAAAAAAAAAAATGTTTTTAGAGTGAAACTGTTAAAAAAAAAACGTATGATTATAACAACGCAGGTTAGGGCACGGCTTGGCTCTGGCATCTGCACTTTTCTGCAGTTTAAAGGTCAGCTCTATTGAATGTGATTAATTGCTTAGTGATGTCATTTCAGGCTCAATCCTGGATTTTTAGTGTCAGGAACAAGATTTTCTTTAATGGTTTATGTTCTACGGCAAATTAATTCATAAACGTAACCATAACATAAACCCATCGTGTTTGACCTTAACTAGGGATGCACGATATAATCGGCCCCCTATCTGTATCGGCCTTAAAACTGAATATCGAACATCGGCCACCCCACCGATATTTAACCCGATATTTGATCAGCTTCTGAGTTTCTAAAGTCTAAAAAAAGAAAAAATACTACTTCTTCTT